AAACACTACCTGGTCCTGCGCCACCCTCATTATCGTTATGCTTGAGCCCATTGTTGCAGCCACTGGGTCAGTCCATCTTGTTGAGGGTCTTCCTCTTTCTCGCTGACCGTCTACTCTCAGTGGTTAAAGCAACTGACAGCTAACCTAAAGGTTGGCAGTTCTAAATCACCAGTGGCTCTGCAGGAAAAAGGTGCGTCAGTCTGCTTCCATAGAGATTTATAGCCTTGGAAAACCTGTGGGGTCGCTATGAGTTGGGAGTCAACTAGATGGCAGTGAGTTTGGTTTTTCTACTTTACCAAGCATGATGTCCTTCTCCAGGCACTGCACTCTCTTCATAACGTGTCTAAAGTGGGTGAGAATAGAACTGATGAAGTATCTCCTGTGTCAAAAATTCCCTCCATGAACAACCAAACCCCCATATATTGCTGGCGGGAAGGTAAAATGGTGCAACCACTTTGGAAAACTGTTGGGTAGTTTCTTCTAAAGTGAAACATTCACTTACCATACAACCCACTCCTAGGTATTTACCCAAGAGAAGTGAAAACTTATGTTCATACAAATATTTGTACAAGAATATTCATAGCAGCTTTATTTATAATAACTCATGCTGGAAATAACACAAGCATTCATCAACAAGTGAATGGATAAACAAGTTGTGGTAAAACCATATCATGGAATACGCCTCAGCAGTGAAAAGGAATATACAGAACAACATGGGTGAATCTCAAAAATAAAAGAATCCAGACACAAAAGACTGCATACTGTTTGTGATGGTTAATGTTATGTGTCTGCTTGGTGAGGCTATGGTTCCCAGTTGTTTGGCCAAATGCTAGTTGCTGTCATGGAGTAGTCACATGTGAATAAATCAGTTGGCTTTGAGTAGGGCAGAGTGTAACAGTAACGTAACGTACATAAGGGTGGTGAAATGAGTTCCTTTATGTGGCCTTTGCCTAGGTTCTTTGGCAAAACAGTTTGAGAAATATTTCCCCTAAGCCCTGAAGAGTTACATTTGCCCTCGTTTTCTACCCCAAAGGGTATGTTACTTTTGTCCAGGTTGAATAACCTTTTCTGGGTAAGCTGTAAACAACTCGTGGTTTGATACCTTTTGTCTGTTCCTGGGCTGTGGCCTGCCTTGTGATTAGTATGCACCTTGCAAAGGATTGGTCAATAGGCTATGCAAATGAGGTGACTATAGCTTACTATGCAAATGAAGTGTCTGTGGCCTACTGAGAGGGAATTGGTCAGTTTATGGCCATGCCTTGAAATTGACAAAGGGTTGTGAATATATGCAGCCAACCCCACAGAGGTTTTTCAGACAGAAAAAAGCAGGAAGAGAAGCAACAGGCAGAAGGAAGAAAGAAGCAGAGAGAGAGAGGAGGCAAAGAATCTCCTAAAAGATCTGTAACATGGGTCAAGGGCTGTAACACTGAAGACAGACAGCGGCCCAGAAGGGGCCCAGTGGCAGAGTCGGTGGTGAAAGACGGCAGGGCCAAGAAAAGCCTGTCCTCAGGGGGCTAAGAGGAGGCCTGCATGGCCAAGAGGAGCTGAGAGAGCTGTCCTGCACTGAAGAAGGAGACTTTGCCTACATGCTTCCTAATCTTGATCCCAAGGTATATCCTGTTCCTTAATAAACCACTTAACTGTAAGTATGGTCTGTGAGTTTGATGTGGCCATTGCAATGGATTATCGAACCCAGCAGAGAAGTGCTGTAGTAGGGACAACTAGTGTCAGAATTGGTAAAAAGTTTGGAGAGTGGAGGTATGTTTGACATCCACCTTATGGGAATCAGCTTTGGGCTGACGATGATTCTCATTATCCTCCCTGATGTTAGATAGGTTCTGACACTACTACTACTATTCCCACCATTTTACAGTAACGTAGTGTAATTACCTTACATATAAGTAATTACTTTCCACAGTGTAATCTAATGTAATGTACACAATTACCTCACATCTAATGTAATGTAATCACTTTCCATAATGTAATCTAATGAAATCTAATCTAGCACTTGAAAAGGGAGTTTACCTAGGATGTGTTCTGTCTCTAGACTATAAATAGATATTTTGGCAGAAGTCTGTCTGTCTGTCTCTCACACACACATACACAGAGGCGGAGAGGGAGGTGGTTTGGTACTCATGCCTGTGAGGACCATCTACAAGCCAAAGAACCGAGGTACACCTGGGGCTACTGAAAGAAAGGAATCTACAGGGCCAAGACACTGATTTAAATTTTTAGCTCCTAGAACTATAAGAAAAAAATTCCATTCTTTAAAGTCACCTGCTTGTGGTATTTGTGTTAAGCAGCATGAGGTAATGAAGACATTGTAGGATTGGATTATATGAAATTCTAGAAAACATAAGTCTAATAGACAGTGATAGAAAGTAGATCAGTGGTGGCCTGGGACAGGGATGCAAATGGGGATTGACTGGGAAGGGGCAGGGGGGAATTTTCTGGGATGATGGAAATGTTCTATATCTTGAATGTGATAGTGGCCACACAGCTGCATACCTTTGTCAAAACTCATTGAATTGTATGCTTGAAATGGGTGCATTTTATTGTGTCTAAATTATACCCCAATAAAGTTGATGGAGGAGGAGGAGAAAGAGGAGAAGACAAGGAGGAGGAGGAGGAAGAGAGGGAGTAAGAGGAGAAAGAGAAGGAGGAGGAAGAAGAAAAGGAGCAGAAATGGATGAAGTAGAATTATACCTGAGACAACAAGCTCAAACCAGGACAGCTAGAGGCAAACAGAGATATATGGCCACCCTAGATAAGGTAACTACCACCCGTCTGTCATTGTGGTGGCTTGTGTGTTGCCGTGATGCTGGAAGCTAAGGCACTGCAATTTCAAATACCAGCAGGCTCACTCATGGTGGACAGGTTTTAGAGGAGCTTCCAAACTAAAACAGACTAGGAAGAAAGGCCTGGTGATCTACTTCCAAAAATTAGCCAATGAAAACCTTATGGATCACAACAGAACATTGTCCAGCTTGCTCACTTTGGACACATCATCAGGAGGGATCAATCGCTGGAGAGGCACATCATGTTTAGTGAAGTAGAGAGCCAGCGAGGGTGAGGGAGACCTTCAATGAGATGGATTGGCACAAGAATGGATTTGATCATGCCAGCGATCGTGAGGATGAAGCAGGACCAGGTGATGTTTGCTTCTGTTGTACGTAAGGTCATCATAAGTTGGGGTTGACGTGATGGCAACTGGTTAACTGGTAAATAAGGTAAGTGACATATGTGTATTGTTAGGTGATGAGCGGGTTGCATCACAAGTGGTGACAGCATGTTATGGGTGAGTTAGAAGTTTCTTACAGCATTCCAGTGGTTTTTGTTGAGTTACGGGTGCTTGCTTTTCTTAGGGTATACAGGTACTTACAAACGTGTTAAGGTGTGTTACAGGATTGTCACAGGTGGTTGCTGGTGTGTTACAGGTGGTTACTGCTGCGTTTTGGGTGAGCTATATGTTATACCTTCTATTCATTTCCTCTTGCTACTGTAAAAAATGACTTCAAACTTAGTGGTTTAAAACAACACACATCTATTATCTTATAGTTCTGGAGGCAAGAAGTCTGACACGAGTCTTAGGCGGCTAAACTCAAGGTATTGACAGGGCTGTGTTCCTTCTGGGGGCTCAAGGGAACAATGTTTCCTTGCCTTAAAAAAAATACATAGTTTATTTATTTTTGGTGGCAATATACACAACAAAACATACATCATTCACAATTTCTACATGAACAGTTCAATAGCGTTGGTTACATGCTTCATACTGTGTTGCCATTCTCACTAACTCTACCCATATTGCTGCATCACCATTAGTTTAGGCTCTCTGCCCCTGAAAGTTCTCATCTATGCTTTAGATTAACTTGTCAGTTTACGCTCATATATATATAAACAGAGCCCACTTTCTGTTTGACTTTGAAGATGGTTAGGCGAGGATTTGATGCCTGGAGCTGTAGCAGCCATCTTGCACCCATGAGGTAGAAGGCAAGGGAATCCCAAAGAAGCTGACCCACAAACCAGACATTTACCTGCTGAATAGGGGGGTCCTGGTGATAAGGACTTGGTCTGACCCACCTCTGTGTCCCCAGCACCCTCCGAGCCAAGCCCCTTGCCAGGGGCTGAAGAGGTAGAGGTGCTGATAAGACACTGTCTCTGTTTTAAAGCCCTCCTGTCATGGGCAGGTGACCAGTACCAGTTGTCCTTGAGTCAACCCAGACTCATGGTGTCCCTGTGTGTGTCAGAATAGAACTGTGCTCTATAGTGTCTTCAATGGCTGATTTTTCAGAAGTGGATTGCCAGACTTTTCTTCCGATTCCTGTCTGGGTGGATTTGAACAACTAACCTTTTGGTTAGCTCAGGAACAAATTTACCGTTTGAACCACCCACTGGGTTTTGGAATATCATAAGGACATGAGGCCATTTAGAGAGGTCAGGGGTCACTCACAAGGATCATAACAGGGTCGCTGGGATATAAAGCCTAGAACAGCTTTCCTGAACCAGGAGCCAAAATTCATTTCTCAAACATTTATTGATACTCCCTCAGGCTTCGAAGACAGCTCACAAGACTCCTGTCTTTGAGGCCACCCAGTCAGGGGAGGATGCAGGGAAAACAAACAGCTTCATCCCTGAGTCGCCTGAACGTGGCCGGGGAGGGAGGTGGGGTCAGATCACCCAGGTCTGGAACCAGGGGAGGAGGCGCAAGGAACGGGGATTTGGGAGCCAGAGGAAACACAGTCAGATCCGCCTGTGAAAAGGTGCAATGAGGTTGGGTGGAGGACCCAGAGCACCAGTACAGGACCGGGCTGGGTTGGGGCGGGCTGGCGAATCTCAGCAGTGGTGGGGGGGTGGGGAAATTGATGGCGGTGGGCGTGGCTCTAGGGCACCAGGCGGAGTCAGCAACTGCGCCTCTTCTCGCAGATCCAGTTGTCCCTCTCACTGTCGCAGGGTGCGTCGTTCCACAGCCCCGTGTTGAGCATCATGATGCAGTCTTCGCGCCCCCGCGAGTCATTGGGCTCCCCCAGGTTCCAGTGGCTGCAGTGGTTG